AGATGATGGTTTGCTAGAGTGACAGAAGCTTAAACCCTAGTTTATGCGTTGCTTCGTTAGGGGTTGATATGGACCCATATGTTTAATGTTGTGGTTAGGTTTACCTTAATACTCCTTTTTGTAGTTGTGGACGCTTGCAATAGGGGTTAATCATAAGTGGGATGCTTGTCCAAGTTAGGGCAGTACCCAAGTGCCGGTCCACCCACATATCAAATTATCAAAGTACTGAATGTGAATCATATGAGCGTGATGAAAACTAGCTTGACGATAATTCCCAATGTGTCCTTGGGAGCTTGTTCCTTATTATTAGAATTTGTCCAGGCTTATCCTTTGCTACATAAAGGACTGGGCCACCTTGCTGCACTTTATTTACTTTATTTACTTTTGCTCGTTACTATTTATCTTATCACAAAACTATCTATCACCTACTATTTCAGTGCTTGTAGAGAAAACCTTACTGAAAACCGCTTATCATTTCCTTCTGCTCCTCGTTGGGTTTGACACTCTTACTTATCAAAAGGACTACGATAGATCCCCTACACTTGTGGGTCATCACACATCACAATTTTCTAAAATTTGGTTGTGAACATATCATTCATATGCATACCATGATTTCATTGCATTTTGAATTTTTAAACATTGTTTTGGCAAGTTATAAACCCTCATTGAATTTAGGGATATATTAAATAACCCTCTCAGAAGCCCCACTCTGTTGTTAGGCACGCTACCGCCACTGTCACCACCATCACCGATCGATTCTGCCAAGCATGGGTGAAGACCGAGCCCCTTTCTTCTCCCATCGCATCTACGCGCTTTAGAGCACCCTTTTGACACCTCACACATGTCCAAGTCAGCTTGAGGATGCGAGCACAAGCACATCGGAGCATCGCCACCATCGCAACTACATTTCCAACGAGGTAAGGACGAGCTCAAGACCGAGACCTTGTCCATTAGACTCACCGCAACATGGCGCACCTCACTGATGTTTTAACATGACCCCTAGAGTACAACATCATCATCGGCGACCCAAAGCTTCCCGATGCCGCCCGCAACTCCGATGAGCAATTTTGTCAATTCCGATGAGGCCTTGCACCGCCGCAATCACTGCACTACCCTGCGACGGCAGGTATAACGCTCACGACCCCACTCATCTATGTCGTCGTAGCCATGCACCAGCATCGTCGTTCCCATCTCCGGCGATGAACTCAAATCGACCAAAATCCTAGCATGACGTGTCACCACCAGAGTCGCCTATTGCCTCTGATCGTACGACTGCATTCTAATTTAACTGAACCGCCGTCGTTAACTCGGCATAGCCTAATTTCACTAATAATCGAAGTAATTTGTAGTTGTCCTTATTCACCCATCTAGATCCATCTCGATCCTTTCATTGACCGTCCCTCTACCTTGGCCATCGCTGTCATCCAATCCAATAGGTTATTGGGAGCTTATGTCATCATTGTTCTTCTTCTTTATAGGGTTCTTTGAGATCTTCAAAGAGGGTTGCCAACTTGGGTTTTCCATTAAAGTCCAATTAACAGGGGAACAAAGTGAAAGACTTAGAGCAACTCCAACGGGGCAACCCATTTCGTCTGCTGGTGTCCGTTTGGGTCGGCGTGGACACATAAGTCGGCCCAACGTGCCGACCCAAACGGATGCGCGTCCGCTTGGTGTCCGCCTGCCGACCCATTCCCGGCCCATTTTTGAGCCTTCTCCTCTTCCCGGGCCCGCTGGTCGGTGGCAGCCTCCACCATTTCCCTCCATCCTCCCAAAAAACCTCCCGCCCGCGTGCGCTCCCGCCCCACCCCCGCCATGGATGACGACCTCGACGTCGCCGGCGGCCTCGCCTCCGTCACCTCGTCCGGCATGCCGGCCGCCCCCTCGGGTAAAGGCAAGCCTCGCGCCCCCCGCAAGACTGCCGTGCGCCAAGCCGAAGAAGGTGCTGATGCCCGAACAGCGGACAAAAGGAGTCGGCCAAGAGGAAGGACCGGAGGCACGCGACGGACGTGAGGGATGAAGCCATCGCGGTGGCCTCTGTCACCGCCACCGCGCAGCAAGAGGTCACCAACGCCCGCGTCACGGCGGCAACAAGGGAGGCACTCTATATGCTAGGGTTAAACCCTGGGCAGCATGGCCTCGTCAATGCCGTCGTGGCCGCAGCCAGCACCGGCTCATCCGCCTTCCCTCGGACGGTGCTGCCCGACTCGCTCCGCGCGTTGGCTTGCACCCCGGTGCCCGGCTTCCATGTCTACCCGTAGGCCTCCCGCCTCTTCGGGGAGTGCTCGCCCGAGGTGAGCATGGTCGCGCCTTCCACGCCCGCGCCCATCGACCTCAATGCCCGCGCCATCGGCATGCAAGACATGGTATGCTAGCAAGCCGCCCTCTTTTGTGTCATCAAGTTTGTGCTTGCGTGTTCATTTGCATACCATTTTGCCAATATGCTTGCATGAAATACATTTGTAGGCATTTCAAGCTTTGGAGGCATTCAAGGTCCAACACAATGGCAAGTGCTTCAACTCTCCCATTGCTTTAGGATGATCAAAGACGAGGAGAAGTTCAAGGCGCAATATGCCGCCCTCGAGTCGCGTGGTGGGAAGCAAGTCGTGGAGGAGGTTGGGGACGGCGAGAAGGCTCGGCCGCGGGGAAAGACCAACTCCAAGAAGGAGGACAAGCGGGATGCGGCATCGATCGCCTTGATCGCAACCGTGGAGGGCATGATCACCAAGAAGGACTCAAGGGAGGAGAAGCGCCGGCAAGAAAGGGAAGATCAAATGAACGCCTTCATGGAGATCCAAAGGAGGAGGATTGAGATGGACGCGGAGAAGCAAGCAAGGATGCTTGAGATGGAGGCGGAGAAGCAAGCCAAGATGTTAGAGATCGAGGCCGCCAACGCCAAGACCAAGGCGAAAGAAGTGGCTCTCACGAGCATGATGACCGGGGTGGAGATCATGAAGGTGGATCTCAACACCGTGTCGCCAAGGAAGAGGCCGTGGTTCGAGAAGATGCATGCCGACATGCTCAAGTTCGACGACAAGTGATCTATGGCGGCGAGCGCCATCTTTTTAGTATGCCGGCAGGTGTGCTGGCGTGACCACGGTGGCCGCGATGACGTGGTCGAACTCAAGTCCCACCCTTTTTTTGTGTGCTGGCATGTGTGCCGGCCGGCTGGCGAGTGCGCCAACATGAACTGTGGTGATATTTTTTGAAGCCGACATTGTATGCCGACGCTGGTATGGTGCCGACATGAGACATGACCGCCGGCATGATCGGCCGCGGGCCTTTTTTTAAAAAAAAATTGAGTGTGGACATGAAATGGATCGACGCGTTGGGTGCACTGCCGACCCAAATCTAAACAGGGCGGACGCCGGGCGGACGGCCGACCCAAACAGACAAAAAACAGACAAATTCGCCGTTCGGTTTGGATCGGCCCGTTGGAGTTGCTCTTATTCTCAATTTGATGGTACAATGTAGCGGCAAGGCAGAATGACACATTTACATAATGCAAGAAATGAAACATGCAAGTAAAACGAGCAAACAAAGCTACACGCTTCCAAATGCCACTTTGGTTCCCATATTCACCACTTGGGCATAGGCACCGCAAAACTTGTTCACGGACTCTTTGGATGATGGCCTGGAGATAATACTCTTCTGTGGGCGCTTCCAGCCGAGGAGCAAATGCGAGCTGGCTAGCTAATGCTCGGCTGATTTGGGGACCACGCCGAGCCGAGCCGAGACTCGAGTCAGACGGGCTCGCAACGAGCTTCCGTTTTTTTTTTCCAGCCCTACCTCCCGACCTTTCTCTCCCCCGCATCTCCACTCCAACCGCATCGCACTTCGCACCTCTCCCTCCTCCCCTCCACCCAGCTCAGTGCGCGCGACGACGCGTGGGACCGCGACCGCGACCGCCGCCGGCCGCCGGCCGCCTCGACGAGGGGAACCGCCACTGCCGCCGAGCCGGTGCCCGCGCGCGGCGACGAGGGGGAGCACGGCAGGCAGCGACCGGAACGCGACCGCGTCAACGAGAGATCTCGGCGACCCCGCGGAGGGCCGTGCCGCCGTTGGGCTCCACTCCTCTTCATTCCCGTCGACGTTTGGCTGACCGGCTTCCGCCCCACCGAAAGCCGAAGGTACGGGCCCGCATCTGCTCGATCTGCGTAGGCTCTGGTAGATCAGGTTGATTCGTGGCGATTGCGCAATGCTAGGCGTGCTAATTCTGGACGTTGGTGCTGCGTCCGTGATTGACTAAGGTGGATCCGTGATCGTCTGGTGTCAAGCACGAGCTGTTCGGGGTTACTAGTGTTTTGGGGTTGCGCAGTGCGCACTCGATGTAGATGGCTGGCTCATTCATGGTTATCCTCCTTTCGTGCTAGCTGTGCATGGTCGCTAGTTTCCCTGGGCTGCACAATTGATGTGAGGTGCTTTTGGTCGTGGAGTTGTGGTTCATGGCTACTGCTCCATGGCCCCTGATATATCCAAGTAACCCAAATTTCCCTTTATTTTAGGTAGTAGTCAAGGCTGGCATTCAAAATGAGTGCTATTGCTTTGCTTGTCCCAGGAACTATCAGTGTTTGACCTACGTTCATCATTTTCTATTGTTCTTGTATATGTTAATCGTACTCTGTTCTCTATGTAAACATAGTCTGATGTACGTATAGCCTGTACCTGATTTCACATCATAACTCGACTTCGTGCCCTAGCATTTGAACACAAATTAGGCAATGATTATACAGATTGTGGATCATTTTTTAATGCTTTTCGTATAACATGGAATGTTTATCTTATATAATTGTGAGAGAAAAGGTTCTTTTGTAGCAAAAGGTAGTTGGTGGCTGAGGCCTAAGAGCTGGATGTGCCTGACCTTTTGAACTTACTGCTTGTGTTCTGAAGGTGTTTGATATAGATCATACAAAATTGAGCGCCCAGTATCTGGGGGTGACCTGCCCCAAGGTGGGGAGTTCGCTCCTTTTCTAGTAACGAAGAGGGCAAACTCTTATTCCATCATGATGGAAAGTGAAATGGAAAAAGGAAGACCATATCAGGAGAAACCAAGAACTTTTTCAACTGTACGAAGTAAATCATCTATACCGCTGGTATGGCCTATTGCTAAGCATTCTCCACTTTTTACACACCGAGCTTAGCAGTTACTAGTAGTATCAGTTTAGTTCGCTTTCATCTTTCCATGTGTCTTTCTCGCACACATTTTTTTGCTGTGCTTAGTATATGCAATTTGCATGGGAGGTGATAGCTCTTTCTCCTTAATCTCTGTCAGTTTGAATGGTCCTTAAGTTTATTTTGTCAAAATATCCACTGTATCATGTTTTGTATTCATCATTTTGTTCTTACAACGTTACGAGTTGAAGTACACACCAACCAAAAAATTGACATACCACACAATGCTGCATCATGATTACTCTTTCCTCTGTTTAACTTAATATTTATTACCATGTAGAATTTTTCCTCTCTTAAATGATGTAAGTGCAGTAAACAAATGAGGTCTGCTCTGTTTATTGCTGCTTGTAACTCCAACAATAAAGGTTATGTTGCTAAAAAAAGTCAAAACTTCAATGTGTACACCACTGCTGCTTGTTTATTTCTCTCAAAGTTGTTGCAGGTTTTGAAATGATTCAACCCAAGTAGCTGTTTTCATCTAGATGTTATGTGCATTTTTCAATATAAATTTGGAAGTTCAATAAGTAAAACAAGTGTTTAAACATTTCCACTGATCGATTGGTTGGATATACTTAGCCCTGTTACGAGCAATTTATTTGTGCCTCACTCAGTTGCTATTCTGACTGCTGCAGGTCTTCCGTGTGTTGATGAAGATAAATCCTCGTGCCCTGATAGTTCTCCTTCTGCTGGTTGTCTGTGGTGTGTTCTACTTAGGAGCCAGTACATCACCAATTATAGTCTTCGTGTTCTGTATATGCACTCTCAGTTTATTCTTCTCTCTCTACCTCACAAAGTGGGTTCTTGCCAAGGATGAAGGACCTCCAGAGATGTCTGAGGTATTGAAAATGCTTGTGTTCAGCTCGTGGAAGATATAGCAGCGCTTTCATTTTCTTAATGTTCACTTCAAATTATTGGTTTCTTTGGCATGTTTCAATTGTCTGCAAAGTGCATAACACATTTTCTATCATCTCTTGCTTGACAGTTAACCATACCATCCTATGAGACTACTGGCCCATTTTATTCTGCAATTTACATTTCAGGTTTAATGGTTTTGTTTTAGTCCATATGTTGATATTTGATATGCTAGATCATGGATACGATTAAGACACACAGTGTAAAATGCTATTTGTATGTGTTGATTGGGGTTGCAGAATGCTATTTAGCTGTGGCATGTGTCACTTTATGGAAGCTACACAGTTCAGTGCAAATTGAGAACATATCCCATATCATAGCATTTTACCAAATTAACATATCACACAATCTAGCATGATCCTGTTTCAGGAGGTTATGTCATACACTCATACAAAATATCAGCTCGTTGTGCACTGTCATGGTGAAAGTTGCCCCTTTTGGAAATCCTGATTTTCAGAATTTTATTTATCTATGCATCTACTTTTGTGAGTTCTGTATGTAAGGTTATCAAGGTTTTGATCTGTCATGTTGCATGTACTGCTCAGATATCTGATGCCATAAGGGATGGTGCTGAAGGATTTTTTAGGACACAGTATGGGGCTATTTCTAAAATGGCTTGCATCCTGGCACTTGTTATCCTTTTCATTTATCTCTTCCGCACTACCACCCCGCAGCAGGAGGCATCAGGCCTAGGAAGGTGATTTTGTACTCTTATTATAAAATCTTAGTTGTACCCATCTTTTGTTGTCTCATAAATTTCATTGCTACACAGGACAACATCTGCATATATTACAGTTATTGCCTTTCTCCTTGGAGCTGTGTGTTCTGGACTAGCTGGATATGTTGGGATGTGGGTCTCCGTACGTGCAAATGTTAGAGTTTCAAGTGCTGCTCGACGGTCTGCAAGGGAAGCATTGCAGGTTTTGTTTCGCATCCTTGATACATTATCTTTCATGTTTTAATGTGTTTCCCCTGTACGGTATAGTTTGAAATCATGACTGATTTCTCGAAACAGATTGCTGTCCGTGCAGGTGGTTTCTCGGCCATCGTTGTTGTTGGCATGGCTGTATTTGGTGTGGCATTACTCTATGCAACATTTTATGTTTGGCTTGGAGTAGATTCACCTGATTCGATGAAGGTTACAGACTGTAAGTTATTTCAAACATGATATATTCAATACCTGCCTACCTGGGACGATAGAACTCTACTCGAATTGCCAGTTGAGCTATATGGTCTACTGTACATGGTCAAAATTGTTAAATTAGTTCATACATATTTTTTTCTTGTTAAACTGGTGACCAATGATGAGTTCATAAATGACAATTCTGTAGGAGTAATGTTGAATAAGGAAAAGTACTTTGCTTCAAAGATTGTTAATGTGGTTTTTACATCATTTTTATTTGTCCTTTCACAACTCCAGATGCAACTTTGAACATTAAGCTAGTCCTTATATTAGTAAGTAAAAATAACTAACACTGGAAACATTTTTAACAGTAAACTAGTTATTTAATCATCTCATGGCCAATTTATATAGTTTTGAACTTATGGTGAAATTTTAAAAGAAAAGAAGGGAATAATTATTTATTGGGAAAAAGTACCACAATGTGATCAACACTGAAAGTTTGAGTGGATAAAATGACTCATTATAAAAGATGTTCATGTTCTATAAAAAAAGAGTAACTTTTAAGTCCTTAATGGACACTGGTAACTGATCCACTGGTGATATGCTTGTAGATGCAAACTTGTATATGTGTTTTCAGTTCAAAAGAACATAATTGCTGTTGCTGATTTCATGTGATTTTGTGTAGTGCCTCTTCTCCTTGTGGGGTACGGTTTTGGTGCGTCGTTTGTTGCCCTCTTTGCTCAGCTGGGTGGTGGCATATACACCAAAGCAGCTGATGTTGGAGCTGATCTTGTTGGAAAGGTTGAGCAGGGAATACCAGAAGATGATCCTCGTAATCCTGCTGTCATTGCTGACTTGGTAATGGTGTTTCTTCAATAAAAAATGTGGAATATTTTTTCTTCATGCTCTTAATTAAAATTTGTCTCATATTTTTTCATGGAATATACCTAGACATAAGGGATGATATTCAATAATGATGAGCTCCATAAGTTTTATCAGAGATAATATGACCTTAACAGCTTGCATTCGTTCTGAAAACCTAAACAAATTATTGTTTCTGCAAGGGGTGGACTACTGTTGTGGCCAATGCGTTGTACAGTAGAATTCTGAAGTTCAGTAGATGCATTTCCAATGATAAAACATTTGTGCCTGTGCTGGAATGCAAGATTTGCTTGTCTCTAAAACTAATTATCAGATTGTTATTAGCCTATGTTTCATTTATTGCTACTATATGTGCTAATGATAAGAAACTACACAGGTTGGTGACAATGTTGGAGATTGTGCTGCCCGTGGTGCCGATCTTTTTGAAAGCATAGCAGCAGAAATTATCAGTGCAATGATACTTGGTGCAACAATGGCACAGCGCTGCAAAATTGAAGGCAAGGCTCTTTTGCTTGTCATGTTAGATCTCTGATTGGGATGTCGAGTGACATTGTTTTTGTTTTTTTCTTATGAATGTACTTTGGTCCATAAGAGCACTGTCCACAGGTAGTTGCTAATATGGATAATATAATAAATTAGCTTTAATCTAGGGATTATGTTGAAAAATAGTGTTGGCTGACTCGGTGTGTGGGATGTGCCTGGCTTTGAATAAAATTGATAATCATCTTTTCTTTTGCGGGCCAACAATCCTTGTGATTACATTGGATTATAATCAACATTATTTACTGTTGCAGATCCCTCTGGCTTTATTCTGTTTCCTCTTGTTGTCCATTCTTTTGACCTAGTGGTGTCATCAGTTGGAATTCTCTCAATTAGGGGAACACGTGACTCTGGATTAATATCCCCTATTGAAGATCCCATGGCAATTATGCAGAAAGGCTATTCTATTACTATACTGCTTGCTGTTCTTACCTTTGGAGGGGTAAGTTTAGTTATTCATACTTCTCTTGTTTGACTATTGTAATATTTCTCTATGGACATATTTTATTATACAAAAAATGATCCCAGGGGAAAAACATCAAACACGATCTGAACAAAGGAAAACATTTAGGGTGTCTCCAGTCCGGTAATCATGACCAATTCATTATTGGATGTAAATCAGCCATATTCAAAAGGATAAATAATTGTTAACTACTCCCTCCGTCCCAAAATAAGTGTCTCAACTTTGTACTAGCTCTAGTACAAATTTGTACTAAGCTCAAGACACTTATTTTGGGACGGAGGGAGTATAAACCAATTGAGCATTCAATATGTTCGTTTTGTCATGTGGGTAAAAACTCTAGTTTACATTCTTTTTCCCTTGGAGTTGTTTTTTAATTACTTACATGTGATATGTTTGCAGTCTACTCGTTGGCTCCTGTACACTGAACAAGCACCTACTGCATGGTTCAATTTTGCCTTGTGTGGCTTGGTGGGCATCATCACAGCATATGCTTTTGTTTGGATTTCCAAGTATTATACAGATTATAAGCATGAGCCCGTCCGCCTTTTAGCTCTTTCAAGCTCCACAGGACATGGAACTAATATTATTGCTGGAGTAAGTTTGGGAATGGAATCAACAGCCTTGCCAGTTCTGGTGATATCTGTAGCCATTATATCAGCATTTTGGTTGGGACGTACCTGTGGCTTGGTAGATGAGCTTGGCAATCCAACTGGTGGTCTTTTTGGGACAGCTGTAGCTACAATGGGAATGCTAAGTACTGCAGCATATGTTCTCACAATGGACATGTTTGGTCCTATAGCTGACAATGCTGGTGGTATTGTGGAGATGAGTCAGCAGGTACACTCGCAAATTTCTTCGTGCATATAATATTCGAACATACAGTTTACCTGTGCTAAGACTGTTTATGTTTTTTACTGTACATATTCGAATCATCTAAGATTGTAATGGCTAGAAATAAATGTTAACATTTAATTAGTCATCTTTATACATCGGTTTAGACTATTTATGTTTTCTTTAATCATTGTAACACGGATTGAATAATTTCTGCAGCCTGAAAGTGTTAGGGAAATCACAGACATTCTAGATGCTGTGGGTAACACTACGAAAGCTACCACAAAGGGATTTGCTATAGGGTCAGCAGCACTGGCTTCCTTTCTCCTGTTCAGCGCATATATGGATGAAGTAGCTGCTTTTGCACAGTTGCCATTCAAAGAGGTATGTATTATTATCACCTCTATACTTGTAATGTTGAGATTAGGTGCTTATGACACATGACTGGTTGTACAAAATGGATTGCAGGTTGACATAGCAATTCCAGAGGTTTTTGTTGGTGGTTTACTAGGTTCGATGCTTATATTCCTGTTTAGTGGATGGGCTTGTTCAGCTGTTGGCAGAACTGCACAAGAAGTTGTTACTGAGGTCAGGAGACAATTCATCGAGAGGCCTGGAATTATGGTGAGTACCTGTTTATGATTAAGTACTTGAGTTCTTATGCCTGGAAAACTTAATGCTAACTTACAAGATAATATAAATGCAGGACTACAAAGAGAAGCCTGATTATGGTCGTTGTGTTGCAATTGTGGCCTCTGCATCCTTGAGGGAAATGATAAAGCCAGGGGCTTTAGCAATTTTGTCTCCCATGGCCGTTGGTGAGTTTTATGGGTCTGGGAGTTGTGGTGCTATGGTTCTGATATTTCATGCGTTTTGAAACTCAATTTATGATATTTGGTGTTGTTTTGAAATTTTATTTACATGATCTGTAGGCATCATCTTTCGGATTTTGGGCCATGCTACGGGGCAGCCTCTCCTTGGAGCTAAAGTCGTCGCCTCTATGCTCATGTTTGCCACTGTTACTGGTATCCTCATGGCGCTCTTCCTGAACACTTCGGGCGGTGCCTGGGATAATGCCAAGAAGTACATCGAGACTGGTGCACTTGGTGGTAAAGGCAGTGAGGCTCACAAGGCTGCAATTACTGGCGACACGTAAGTTTCTTTTCTCACTTATTATGTGCTGTTGCTTTGGGTTTCTTGAACTAAGTGTCTACTATTGATCAACACATGCTAAACTGAATAACAATGTTCTTTTCCTATAAAAATATACATGTTATTCCTATAATAACAATATAATACATGTTATTCTAAAAAAAACAAGTATACATGTTATGTGACCTGGCATTGCTTTTTGCTCATTCATTACGATGATGCGACCCGAAGTAACATTTACGACTGTTACGCCGCAGGGTTGGAGATCCGTTCAAAGACACGGCAGGCCCTTCGATCCATGTTCTCATCAAGATGCTCGCCACGATCACACTGGTCATGGCTCCGATCTTCTTGTAACCATTGGTCGAGCTCGCCGTTAACCCCGCGGAGGAATGTCTATTGTTCTTGTAGATGAGGCATTAACGTGAATGGGATGTAATGATTTGCTTTTAGTATTATTTTGCCACATTGAAAGGAGAGGTTCAGTGCTGCCCATTTTGATATGGTGCCCGTATTTTACCGTTGCTATTTCGACAGAGGATGCAAATGTTGGAGAACATATATATGTTGTGACAGAGATTAGAATGTACTTTGAAATTCATATGCCTTGTATGCAGAGATCTCTTAATTGTTTATCCTCCAAATTTACTTTCTTTCCAAATACGTTGTCCCAAAATAGCACGACCAGAGCACCAGATCCTTACTCACCATATGCTGGGTAATCATCTGTTAATTTTACAAACAAACATTTTGCGTTGCAAAATTGCCACACAAACCACACAAAATCCTTTGAGCTGTACAATGTGTGACTGAATCATACTCTCGGTTTGAAATCTCAGTTTGAATCTACAGACGCCTCTCACCTGGCACTTGCAGTCATGAACTCAAAAAGAAAGAAAAAAAGTGTAGCCTGTCAAACTTGCATCGAAAGAAGAATTTTTGTTCGAATCCGTTTCCGTCTTTTTTCCTGAGAGAGAAATCCGTTTCCGTCTTAAGAACACGGGTTCTGGATATACTATCGGACCCTTCATGGAGCGGGAACACGGGTTCTGGATATACGTATCCGGCCCGGGCTGCCTTCTTCTTGGAGCAGAAGTTGATTACTACTAGTAGTAGCCAAACCAACAGAGGGCAGGCCCAGCGCACCCGAACCCGCAGTCTCGCCTCTCGCACACGCAGCCGAGCCAGACTCCGCCAGCGCTTCTCCTCTCTCCTCCCTCCTCCCTCGCGCCCGCCGCCCGCCGGAGAGGACGCCATGGCGCCGGAGCCGGAGGACGACATCATGGCGGAGAAGAACCCGCGCCCCCTCGACGAGGACGACATCGCCCTCCTTAAGACCTACGTGAGTGCCGCGCCTCCCCTCGGATCTCCCCCCGCCCCCTCGAATCTGCGTTTCCGTTTGGCGGCGATCTACCCCCGGGCTGGGCGCCGCGCACGGGCTCGCGCCCGCGGCCTGCCTAGTCTAGGGTTTCGGTTCATGCTCTCTGGGGAATCTGCCGTAGCCTTCTGTGGATTTGTTGGGGGGAGGCCCCTTCTGTGAATTTGTGATCTAGTCTCGGGCTGGACGCGGCTGGGTTTGCGCTTGCGGTCAGCTTAGGGTTTTGGTTCCTGTCCTCTGGGGAAGCTTAGGGTCTTGATGCGGGCGACGGGATGCCGTTTATTTTGTACTGCTTGCCTCTTTTTCTGCGGCGGAATTGGGGTATTTAGGCGAGATGTGGAGTCTTTGTTTAGGGTTTCTGCACACTTTGCTGATTCTCGCTGCTGTCGACACTTGACAGGGGCTTGGGCCATACTCCACGAGCATCAAGACGGCCGAGAAGGAGATCAAGGAGTTGGCCAAGAGGATCAATGACCTATGTGGTGAGTAAGGATCTGATAGTCTGTTTGTTGGTTTGGCTCTCTAGAGATGTAGCCCAATTTGTTCCTGAACTAGATAGAGACCAATTGTCTGCACTTTGTTTAGTTGTTTCACACTTTCACTGCTAGCAGCTTTCAGTCATATGATAAAATATGAGGCATGTATGTACTGAAGATAGTGTGTGTAGTTAGTGAGTATGGTAAGTGGTTCAGAATTTAAGGTGTATGAATGCACTGTGTGTTTTTGACAGACTCGACTAGCAAGGCATTTGTTTGATGATATGTGCATCTGACTGCTGCTCTTGCTTGCAATGTTCTTCCCATTTGGTTTGTGTTTTAGAATTTTTGTTTAGCGGTTTCATGAACATTCAGAATATGCGATTAGCTTTCAAACTTCCATACACTGTGCAGTTTATCTGATTATTAAAATGTTAGGAGGGTAACATTTTTAGTTAGCTTGCCTGACCCATTATGCGCTTATATTAAATCTCAGGGATAAAGGAGTCTGATACTGGGCTGGCTCCACCTAGCCAGTGGGATCTGGTGTCAGACAAACAGATGATGCAGGAAGAGCAGCCTTTACAAGTATGTTACTTGGCCTAATGTTTTCGTACTTCTTCCCAATTTTGTAGTTGTGGTTTAGCATGCATAATTGTTTGGGTCTAAGTTACCTTCCTCATGCTGCAGGTAGCAAGGTGCACCAAGATTATAAACCCTAATACCGACGATGCCAAGTACATGATTAATGTAAAACAAATTGCAAAGGTATACCGTGCTTATCCTATCTTATTATTTCAATCATATACCCATTGATTCCCACCAGCCTCCTTATGCTTTTATCTTTTCATCTTGCAGTTTGTGGTTGGATTGGGGGATAAAGTTTCGCCAACTGATATCGAGGAAGGGATGAGAGTCGGGTAGGTTACTACCTGTCTTTTGGTCTTACTGTATCATACATCTTTCATTCAGATCAACCTGAGTAATTCGCACCTGGTGATTTATGTGTTTGATTTAAACCATGTTATAAGGCTGCAGCATATACTGTACATGTAGGATGTGTTATATGCCATCATGTAAGCAGAGAAAAAAACTTTGTAAACTGAGGAGTGGACCAGTGTTTGCTACTGTGACCAGTGTTAACTAAGAACATGTTGAATCTCTGACAGTATCTTGTCATCATCTCCTTGGCTTAAGTATAAGTTCCTTCTGGTTGCTCACAGAATGCAGAAGGTGGGAGTATGGAACTTACTCCCCTACTTGTTTTTTGGAGATATTATATCTTGCTAAACTAATACTGATTTTATGAATGCATTTTTTGGATAAATCATCATAGATGCTACCCAGAATTGTTATCCTTTTCTGTGCTTGCGCACTATCATTCTCACTGTGGAATTGTGATCTCATGCCTGATGCAGTGTCGATCGGAACAAGTATCAGATACAGATTCCATTGCCACCAAAGATTGATCCCAGCGTCACCATGATGACTGTTGAGGAAAAACCAGATGTCACGTATAATGATGTTGGCGGGTGCAAGGAGCAGATTGAAAAAATGCGTGAGGTATGCCAAAAAATTCCCTGTGATTCAGAACTTGTGCTTAATCTGTGAACCTGTGCATGCTAGTACATTCTAGTCTTGGACCTGCTTTCTTTACTGTTTTTCTGAACAACTATTCACAGGTAGTCGAGCTCCCCATGCTTCACCCGGAAAAGTTTGTGAAGCTTGGTATCGATCCTCCTAAAGGTGTTCTTTGCTACGGCCCTCCTGGCACTGGCAAGACTCTTCTTGCTAGAGCTGTTGCCAATCGCACGGATGCTTGTTTTATCCGTGTGATTGGAAGTGAATTGGTCCAAAAGTATGTTGGTGAGGGTGCTAGGATGGTTAGGGAGTTATTTCAGGTATATCCAGCTCTGCAGATAACCTACAGTCTACAGGGTTTAATCTGGTTTATTCAACTTCAATGTTCTGTCTTAGTAACAATCGTTTTGATTGAAATATGTTATTGCTTGTCAGATGGCCCGCTCGAAAAAAGCATGCATCATATTTTTTGATGAAGTTGACGCCATTGGTGGCGCTCGCTTTGATGATGGAGCTGGGGGTGATAATGAGGTACAGCGTACTATGCTTGAAATCGTCAATCAGCTTGACGGTTTTGATGCTAGGGGCAATATCAAGGTTCTCATGGCCACCAACAGGTACTTACCTTTCCTTTCGTGCGCATTCTCATGTTGTCCAATATGGCATGATGCTCACCTTACATTCTGGACATCCTACTTGTAAGCTATTTATAGATGGGACTTGTATGATTAAGAAACTTCAGTGGTCTGTGTTATTTAAAACTCTTCCCGTCTCAATCAGAAATTAATTGCAGCTAAAACATCATGGCCACATGAATAGAGTTGAGAGGGTAACCATCTTTTCTTGTTTTTCAGGCCTGATACACTTGATCCTGCACTTCTGCGTCCTGGTCGTTTGGACAGAAAGGTGGAATTTGGGCTACCTGACTTGGAAGGCCGTACCCAGATATTCAAAATACATACGCGCACCATGAACTGTGAGCGTGATATACGCTTCGAGCTACTGGCGCGACTCTGCCCCAACGCCACTGGTGAGTACATGGGCTTTGCACTCTGAACAGTTCCTGTTCGATTTGATTCGACTGTTTCGGGCACCTAGGATCCAGCCTCTGAACAATTTGATTCGACTGTCTGATTTGTTGTTTCAGGCGCCGACATCAGGAGTGTCTGCACAGAAGCTGGCATGTACGCCATCCGCGCCCGCAGGAAGACTGTGACTGAGAAGGATTTCCTCGACTCGGTCAACAAGGTCATCAAGGGGTACCAGAAATTCAGCGCAACCCCGAAATACATGGTGTACAATTGAGCAAGCAGGCTTCCTTTTGTTTCTGTGCATGTTTGCATCCATGCCGTAGCAGCAGTGCTTTGGTTTCCACATCCTTTCTGTGTGCCCGTGATGGTTGTAAGCAGCACGGTGGTGTTTCGGTTCATGTATGTCACTGTAATCTGGTAACCCCAGTGAAATCACTCTAGCTTTTCGTAAAGCTTCGTCGAAATACAGTTTTCAGCTTGTCCGCTAATCAGAATTAATTGCATACATTTTATTTGGAGATAAGTGTCTCTTGTTAGAACTTTGTATGTACACGTAGCCATATGGCTAATGCCCGTTGTGAACAAATGTAGTACTGTACTAGTAGAACATACCCTCTGCTCTTCTGTGTACTTTCATGGTTATCTTTCGTATGCTCAGTTTAATTGTTCATACAAGCTTTTCCAAAATCAATGATGATATATAGGTACAAGTAGAAATAAGCTCTTTTTAAATATAAAAAACTGAACCAAAAAGAAGGGCGAAACAACTAGGGGTCGAACTTGTAGAACTTGGACGGCTTGAGCCCAGCGGTGAAGTTGAAGTATTTGAGCGCGTGCGCCCAGCGCGGGTTGTCCTTGAGGCGGTGCACGGCGATGGTGTCCGGCACGAACTCGTGGGAGCACTCGTCCACCCGCACCGGCAGCGGGTAGTCGTACATGGCCGGCTTGGCGTTGAACCTGTTCCTCCCCTTCCCTCCCACCCTCAGCCACTCCCCGGTCATCCTGTCCTCCGGCCCCACGGTGCGCCCCCGGGTCACCTCCCCGGCGCCGGCCACCCACTGCACCAGGTCCCACGACAGCGCGTACCCCATCCCCGACATGTACCCCCTCCCGGGGTCCATGCTGTTGCACGGGATGGTGGCCCCGTAGTACATGTCCTCCCGCGGCATCGCCCCCAGCGACGCCACCAGCGCCGCCACCCGGATCAGGATGTCGTCGTCCGCCTTCATCACGTAGTCGTAGGGCGCGTCCGCGTACAGCTCCGCCACCGCGGTGAAGAAGGTGTGCGTCTTCCCGCCGTTGAGGTTCTCCTCGCACCCATCCAGCACGATCACGTCCCCGTGCGCCAGGATCTCCAGCGGCACCAGCACCCGCTGGTCGTCCTTGTAGAGCCGGCAGAAGACGAACCGCACGTCCACCTGCGCCGCCAGCGCCGGGTCGGCGGCCAGCTGCAGCCCGTACACCATGCGCAGCAGGTGGCGCCGCTCGTACACGTCGGCCCTCGTCAGGATGCCGATGAGGAGACGGAAGTCCGGCTTCTTCCGGGCGTATGCGACGGCCGACGTGGACGACAGGGTGGTGGAGCCGTTGGCGGCGGTGTAGGTGCCCGGCGGCGGGACGCAGGAGCTCATGAGCGACTGCAGCTCGAACTCCTTGGGGTACACGAAGAGGTAGATGAAGGCGAGGAGCAGGATGGGCAGCAGGACGAGCGCCTTGCTGGAGGTCGACAGCCTCGGGAAGCCGACGCGCTGCTGCTGCTGCTTCCTCGCCGCCGTTGTGGCCTGGTGTTGCTCTCCTCCTCCACCTCCTCCTCCGTGCTTCGCGGCCGCGGCGGCCATGGACTTTAGGAAGTTGCTCGGCGCCGGCATCGAGTGGGTGATTGATCGAAGAAGATGCTAATGTAATGTATGCGGTGTGCGAGCTTGATGGCTTCGGTGTAATGAAGGAGAGCTAGCTAGCTTCTCGTGTGATACAGTAGTACGTGGGGGAGCTTGGGATGCACGGGATGGCCTCACGCTTTGCGTAAAGGTTTGGTCTGCCGAGCGCGCCATGCGAGGGCGCCGGATCTTTGGGGCGCATGGAGTCAACGCGCCATGCGCATGCACATGAACCAGTCACAGCTTCCTGCGCTGCGTGGCGTGGCGTGGCGTGGCATGCAAACCAACGTGCGCGACTCCGGAGCTACTATGTGTGGGACTTCCTCTGTTTCGGTTTACAAGCATATTTCCTCTGTTTCCGTTTACAAGCATATTTCTAATCTTAACACAGCACGAATCAAGCGAATGGCACCACTAGAGAGCGTTCCTTCCTTCAAAATAACCACTCACATGCAACATTTAGGAGTGGCCATGTTATAAGAGAGAGATTCATCGTGCTATAACAGAGAGTTTTGCCATGCTAAGAAGAAGAAAAATTAACACACTTCCTCTGTTTCCAGTGGCGGAGCCAGGAAAATCCAATGGGGAGGGCCAAACGTGGGCAGGGGCCCTGCTGTCCCCCTGTCTCCGCCACTGTTTGTTTCGGTTTACAAGCATATTTCCTATATATGTTCCAGTTTGCCAACATATTTCTAAGGCTCTATGGATGTGTTTAGTTGCCTGCATACAGACCAACTAGACCCGCGCGGTACGAAAATGACATGTTTGGTTGTCCGAGTTGCATCTAATTCTCGGCCCCCATGAAACTTAAAGCACCTTTGGCTCTGCATATGAAAACACTGGCTGACTGATAAGAAATTAAGCTATTTTGTACTCCACTAACTACGTGGCATGGTTTAATCGCAATGTCGAAAAAAAAAGAAATAGGGGTCCTTTGATTCAAAGAATTTTTGTAGTTTTTTCTTTTTATTGAGGATTAGGATCCTTTGGATTTTTCTATGTTGGCTGTTTGATTAATAGGATTGAATCTATAGAATTGTTTACTAATGATTTCTTTGTACTACTTGTCATAAGATTTCTCACATCCACTCAAACCTTTTTGAAAGAACCATTTTTTTTCTATGATGCACTCAGACAAATCAACATCCTACAGGATTGAGATGAGCATGACATTCCAATTTTGCGTTTTTCATATTCCCCACATTTTTAGAACCCTGCGAATCAAAGAGGCCCAAAAAATAAGACTGTGTCTTTCTCTTTCTTTGAAGAAGCATGTGAAAGTAAAATTTTGCATCTTGCGGTTGCGTTTTCCTTTTTCTTTTCAAGAGGCACAATTACGCTTCTCCTGGAAAAGCACGGCTTCCAAAAATATATAGTTTTTCATTCAAAACCTAAAAAAGAAAACAAGAAACACTGAAAAGTAAAAGTAAAAACACACACGCGAAAATACAACCCAAAATCCCCAGCACGCGACACAAAAGTGATCTATGCGGAAGCCTCCAAAGGTACCCGTTAGATAGTTATCTCATAAACTTTTTTTTTCATGATAATACATGTCTTATTTATATATATATACGTTAGACTTTGCACAAAGGAACACTAATCAAGAAAGAAAATTGTAATCAGGACCGAAGAATTTTTTGAGCTTAACACAGTTGCCTGTCAAATGCCTCCAACATCACCACAACGGTCATCAATTTTTTTTGACAGATTACCTTTTCACACGAACTCAATGCGGCTCCATCATCGATATACAGTTTTGCGGACCTAGGTTGCGTGGCAAACTTGACGGCGGGCCGCGGCACCGGCAGGCCGTATACTTCCACCACGTAGGCCGTAGCTATGTAGTAGCCCAGCTATGCCTAAGTTTGAGTGTGCGGACTACGTACCGCAGATTTCCAAGGGCGTAATATAACCATTCTTTTCAGTTCGCCTATGAACCCCGAGCATGTGTAGTCCTACGTGTACGTTGCTGTTCTTTTAACAGAAAGAAGTGCGTGCCTGAGTCAGTGAGGCGGTTTGTCGGGAACGTGCATGGCTTGCCTGAGCAGCCACGCGCCCACGCCCGCCGTCCTTGCTGGCCTCTGAACCTCTTCACTTCACTTCATAGAGCGCATAAATAAACCGCCGCCGGCGCAGCTCGTTCCCTCGCCATTGATGATAGACCGCTCGCCGCCGAGCTCGGAAACAAAACAGACTTGTTACCTGTGCAGTCCGTTTCCCATGGAGCACGTGGGCGTGCATGGCGGTGGCGACGCCGCGTTCCTTCGCGGCCTCGAGGCGCTGGAGGTGGACGTGGAGCAGCAAGAGGAGATAATCGACTTCGAGGCAGAGCCGCCGGGCTCTTCTGAATCGGTCGAGATCTCCGACCTCAGGAAGCGCATGTGGAAGGACCAGATGCGCCTCATGAAGCTCGAGGGCCGCGCCGGGGCCAGGAGCGGTGCGCCGGCCGGGCGGCAGGAGGACCGGGAGGAGGACGGTCCCGAGGCGCGGTGCCGGCGGAAGGCGATGCTCCGCGCGCAGGACGGCGTGCTCCGGTACATGATGAAGATGATGCAGGCCTGCAACGCGCGCGGGTTCGTGTACGGCGTGATCGACGAGGCCGGCGAACCCACGTCCGGCTCCTCCGACAGCCTCCGCGGCTGGTGGAAGGACAAGGTCGTCTTCGACCGCACGGGCCCGAAGGCGCTGATCACCGGCAGCTCCGCCGCCGACGGTAGCAGCAGCCCGCTAGGCCTGGCCTCCTACCTCCACCGCCTCCAGGGCATCCAGGACAACACGCTGGGCTCCGTGCTCTCGGCGCTCCTCCAGCACTGCGAGCCGCCGCAGCGCAACTTCCCCCTTGAGCGCGGCCTGGCGCCGCCGTGGTGGCCGACGGGGAAGGAGCCGTGGTGGGGCACGCAGGGCGAGACGCAGGCCCACCAGGGCGCGCCGCCGTACCGGAAGCCGCACGACCTGAAGAAGGCGTGGAAGGTGTCCCTGCTGAGCGCGGTGATCAAGCACATGAGCCCGCGCTTCGACCAGATGCGCAGGCTCGTGTGGCAGTCCAAGCGGCTGCAGCACAGGATGAGCGCCAAGGAGTCCGACACCTGGTCCAAGGTGCTCCGGCAGGAGGAGGCGCTCAGCGACCGGCTCAAGAGCTCGCTTCGGATCACGCCCCTCGACGACGACTACGACGGCGAGGGACTGGAGGACGGTCCGGAAGATGTGGCGCGTGGCCCGCATGACAAGCGCAAGTGCGAGGACGCCCTGAGCGGCAGCTCAGGTGGGAAGTGGCCCAGACCACGAGGCGGGAGCCGGGACCTGGCGGCGATGGTACCCGGGCTCGTCGAGGAGAGCCAGAGCCCGATCAATGAGCTCATGGAGCTGTACTACAGCTGCCTGCAGGGACGCGACGGGGAGGAGAAACACGATGTGGCGGTGGTACCTCCAGGAGTGCCGGGAGGAGCCAATGATGTTGCACAGCAATTCCTGCTCGATGTCATCGGGAGCTGCCCGGAAGTAGATCATGTGTTGCGTTTGATGGAGGAGTGACTGTCTTAGTTGGACTAGATTAATGATTATTACTTAATTCTCCCCTTTATTGCTAATTAACGATTCTTAGTTGAACCTGAACAAGAGGGTGCTTGGATACGTTTTAGTCCCATGACTAAAAGTAGTGAAACTAAAACTTGCTAGCCTCATTCATGCTTGGATCCAAATACTAAAACGGAATTGCTAATTTTCATCCGGATGAAAATTATTCGTCTTCATCCGTTTTCTGAGCCGTACGTTCTGTTGCGTCATGATTCGTGGTTTTTCTTTTTTTCCTGTCCTCTTTTGGGCGCTGACTTTTCTTATCGGGCCCACCGAATATTTCAATCCGACCCGTTACGCTCCCCTTGCTATCCCGCGCCTGTCGCTTCCTCTGCCTCTTCCCATCTTTGTCGTTTCCTCTTTGCCATTTCACACACACACATACCCTGGAACAGAGGTTGGGAGAGATAGCATGGCGATTTTGGATCTCCCTCTCGGTGATCGACGCAGTTGGTTGTTGGTGACTCATCTGCACTCTCTGTCCCGCTCCACTAGTAGAAAAACACCTATTAGACCCGGTTCGTAAGGGCCTTTAGTCCCGGTTCATGAACCGGGACTAATGGGTCGTTACTAATACCTACACCCATTATCCCGGTTCAAACACGAACCGGGACAGATGTGCCCCCACGTGGCCGGTCCGCCGAGCCCAGTCAGGGGGGCCTTTGGTCCCGGTTGGTGGCACCAACCGGGACCAAAAGTCCATTTTTTTTAGAAAAGTGGCTGCTTTAGGGGTTTTGGGGGTTATTTTTAGGTTGTTATTATAGCTAGCTAATAGAGAGAAGTGTCCTCTCTTATATCTTCGTCCTTGGTTTACCCGCTGATATAATACCTCATGCATGCTCGCATCATACATCATCATATATAATAACAAGTCCTACTAACCATGCATCATCATACAACTTCTACTCGTTATTAATAATAAGTCATACGATCATCATCCTCATAATCATCGAACCCAACCCTACATAATTGTTCTTAGCACATGATCATCAGTATCAGGTAGGACCCCTAAACACCCTTAAGGTAAAATAGCATAAAACAATATAGACCCTGACTCTCCATTATGAAGAATGGCGATCATCCTGTCTACAATTCTTGCCCTTCGCTGCTTTTTGCTTCCAAGAAGCTCCTTACGACTGTCCATACATTTTTTTCCATTCTTTGATTGTCATGTCTTCACTTTTTTTAGAAACCCGGTATGGACAGTTGAGATTCGTAGGAAGACCTGGTTGTATGTACAAAACATGAAGGGTACTGTGCATATACATCAGATGAGGCACACAATCATTCGGGATTATCTGTTGAAAAACATAGTAATAACTTCATAGTTAGCAATGATGTACTAGTTTTAGAAGTGTGCAAAAAGATGCACGGATGTCGTAATAGTAAAAAACCTTACCAGGGTATCTCCATGGTAGTTACCGTAGTTCAACACGTGCACTAGTGACACGTATTGACCATAATGTTGAGGAGTTTGATTGTAGATATTGTAATTCTCAAGATCAGTACAAAATGCGACCAGATGATTTTTCTCCTGATAAGTTAATTCGGAGCCTTCGGTGTAGTAGGTTCTGTCTACCATCTTCCGCACATTCTTTGAAGAATGAAAATAAGCTGTCAATGGAAATAAGTTGTCAACTATTTTGAAATAAATAATATAAATTACTTAATAACTATGTTAAGCTCACATGGGGGAAGAATTGGAGGTGTATCCACAAGGACCCAAATCGAAGGTCTCTCTTGCTCGATTGTAGGATCACCAAGATCTATGGTGACAAGCATACCCTCATCAAGACCATACATCTTGCAAAGTGCTTCCCAATTTTTGCAACCAAAATGGGTTACACTCTGAGCATTGTACAACTTTACTTGAAAATCCACACCATGATGGGTACTTAGGATAATTTTTTTGGTTTCGAAACTTTCATGGTCTCCAAAACCCATCCTCTCCAAGACATAGCGTCTTGCAAAGCATGGGATAAGCTAGTTGAATTGGAAAAGATGAAAAATACACGTTAAAATAGTTGAAGTCGTGCTTAATTACAAAAAAACTATTGTCGTCGTTGCGTACCGTATGAACATCGCAGGTCTGCTCGAGCTTAATGCTGAAGCGCCGATCTTCGTCCAGCTCAATGAACCTGTCGCAGATACCTCGGTCGTCGTGGCACCAGTCGCACTCCCCCGGGCGGTTTTCGTCGTCCGATGAGTACGACATTTCCGCCCTATGTTCATAATTCAAATATTAAACTAGATCATTATTATTAATCATGGGTTGACTATCGGCGATCGATGTACGTAGCTCCTCCTTTCATTCCCGAGTGCATTATTATACCAAATTGTTTAGCACACGGGAATGAAGAAGAACTTATCCAATATGAGCATTCAATAAGCAAAACCAAATCATAAAATAAGCAAAACCAAATCATAAAATAAAGTAGTATTCAAATTAGTATGCATTCAATAATTATAAGCAAAAGTACATCATCTCTTGGTGTCCGTACATCGTCGAATATTATCACTAATACAACTAGAACCGTAGCGCCCGACGGGTATGGACGCGTGCGGTGGACACCGAAAGATAAGGAACCATCACAGGATCATAGCTCCAGTGAGATCCCTGAAGAACCTGCCAGGTATTGTCAAACCTGCCCTCCAATGCAACCATGTAGCGACGGACGTGCTCGTCCTCCTCGCTGACATGGTGCCGTACCACCTCCGCGGTGTCCGGAAGCCTCAGCACCGTCACTGGCCCACACGACTGCCACCAAACAAGGATCGGGTCAATAACGGGCTGCCTCCTCACCAACCTACGTCCCCCGGAAGATAGCACCTCCCAATACCAGCCTGGCGGAGCCCAGTCCCGAACATGGCCCTGATCAAGCAGGCCTCCACCGCCGAGTCGACGACAACGAGGATGCGGGATAGGCATCGCCGACGTCGATGCGGGAACTACTTCTATATATAGTTAAATAAAGTAGTTTTATTAATTAAATCAACTATCTAGTTCAACTACTAAGCACTTACTATAAAAAAATAAAGTAGTACTTACTATAAATAAATAAAGTAGCACTTACTACAAACTACTTCTCTATATAGTAAGTAGTATTTTTCTAACTAACTCATATTTTTCTAACTAATTATATTACCAAAAAAATCTAAATAAAATAGTAATTATATTTTTCTAACTAGCTAGTTCAATTATAGTACTTACTAACACAATCTAAATATCACCAAAAAAATCTATTAACAATAATATCACCAAACATACTATGAACAAATTAATAGAAAAAAAAATCTATTAATAGAAAAAAAATCTAACACAATATGAACAAATTAATTACACAATCTAAATTAACATACTATGAACTACATATCTAAATTACTACACATCTAATCTAACAAAAAAATCTAAAAAAAATCTAACACAATATGAACAAATTAATTACACAAAAAAATCTATTAACGAAAAAAAAATCTAACACAATATGAACAAATTAATTACACAATCTAAATTAACATACTATGAACTACATATCTAAATTACTACACATCTAATCTAACAAAAAAATCTAAAAAAAATCTAACACAATATAAACAAATTAATTACACAAAAAATCTATTAACAGAAAAAAAATCTAACACAATATGAACAATATATTAACAAAAAAAAGTCTAACACAATATGAACAAATTAATTACACAATCTAAGTTAACATACTATGAACTACATATCTAAATTACTACACGTCTAATCTAACAAAAAAATCTAACAAAAATCGTAAAAAGTTGCTCACGGCAAGGTCGACGTCAACGGCGACGGTGAGGTGCGGCACGGGGCGGCGACGGTGTCGTGGCGGGGCGGGGCGGGGCGGGGCGGCGACGGCGTCGGGGCGGCAGGCGACGGCGCGCGGCGTCGGGAGATCGAGGAAGAGGAGTGATCAAAATGGGGATGCGGTTCTGAAATTTTCCTTATATAGCAAAGTCTTTGGTCCCGGTTCGTGGCTCCAACCAGGACCAATGCACCCTGTAGTCCCGGTTGGTAGCACCAACCGGGACCAAAGGCCGCTTTTCAGCCCTCCCAAAGGGCGGGAAGCAGAGGGCTTTGGTCCCGGTTGGTGCCACCAACCGGGACTAAAGAGTGGGCATTGGTCCCGGTTGGAGCCACGAACCGGGACCAATGTCCGTGTGCTGGCACGGTGCAACACGAAAGTTTAGTCCCACCTCGCTAGCTGAGAGGGGCGCGCAGTGGTTTATAAGCCCCACTGCCGCTCCCCTCTCGAGCTCCTCTCCACTGCAGGCTTACGGGTCTACTTACTACTGCTTTGCCTGATGTCCTACTGGGCCACCTACGGGCCTGAATCCTGGCCCATGGTGGGTTTCTAGTCGTATTCAGGCCGTGGGGCCCCAGTAGGAGGCACTTTTTTTCTTTACTTATTTATTTTATGCAGCTGTTTTCTGTAGCTGTTGTTTTAGTCCCACCTCGCCGAGCGAGAGGCACTCGCAGCTGTTTATAAGCCCTGAGTGTAGAGACGATGAAGAAGAGGCTCAATGCTCACCTGCATGTTGGTTCGCTTCAAGCCTTGAGGAATAGGGTAGACTGCATGGAGCTATGTTTAGTGCAGTTTACACTATTCCGAAAGGCTTGAAGCGAATTAACTAGCATTGCGCCTCTTTTTTATTTTTAATGACTTATTACAACTCAGAAAAAAATAGAAAAAAAATAAATATAGCAGAAAAGAAAAAAAATTATATAAAAAACTACTCATAAATAAATATAAGAAAAATAGTTGTGATTAACTTTACTAAAATCTTTTTTATTTTTAATGATTTATTACAACTCATAAATAAATAGAAAAAAAATAAATATAGCAGAAAAGAAAAAAAACTATATAAAAAACTACTCAGAAATAAATAGAAGAAAAAATAGTTGTGATTAACTTTACTAAAATCTTTTTTAT